AAACCTCAGTCCTCTGTTCGCCTGATCTGTGAACTGCCCCAGCTCTGTTCCTCTGACAACAAGAAAGCCTACGATCAGATCGACGGGCCTCATCGCGAGCTCACGCAACTGCAGTCAGGATCAGAAGGTACATGACTTTAAATATTTTAAAAGTTTCCAGTGGCATTAGAACAAATTGAAATAAGCATGCGCACTCTTCTGACGCATTTTCAGCAGCCGTGATGAAACAGGAGCTGAAGATCATAGTAGGTATATGTAATGACGTTCGTCTGGGGATCTAGCCATGTTTATGGACATCGTTGCCATTCCGGGCACCAAAGAATGCTTTCTTTGATACAGGCACCAAAAATGGCTTCCTCTAAAAATGTTCGGTACGTTGACAGTCTACGGAGAGGGACGGAAATTGGAACTTCGAGGGCTTCAGCAAATATTCAGATTTTTAATCTCTCTTCGGTTGGAAAGCAAAACCTATGATAATTTCAGATAGCTCCAAAACCTAACTCCGCTGGTCAAGCGACAGGGAAGGCGCTGACGAATGTTCCATCGAAGACATGCTCGCGTTTTGCTACCACGCATTGCTCCTTTAGATTATCAGTCAGAACCGGAACAGAACTCAGATACTTCGTTAATTTTTAGAAAATTTCGATGCGTCAGAAGTCCATGTCTTTAGTGACACTCATGTCTGACGCTGTAATCCGTTACTAGTTGGAGGCGTTCCCTGATCGAAAATCCGAGCAGTTTGCGTTAATCAAAGATTTGATTCAAACAGAAGAGACGTGTTGTAAACGTCAACTTACTGCTTCTCAACGCAAAGCATGCCAAGGAAAATGGTAAATGTTAAGTACGCAAAGTAGATTGCTCATGCGCTGCCCCAATTACTTCCAAATGTGTCCACGAGAGGTTTACTATTCAGGCTGAAGTAACCAGCTCTGAAGCTATAAATAATCATTAGCTTAACGCTCATTGTTCATAAGCCGTTACTGAGCAGAGCACCCTCTTGCAGTTACAGTTCGTATTCGAGTAGTCATCCTGATGGTACGGTGCGAATATTAGCGTTTCCCAAAACTGAGCGTGCTTCTCTTCCACCGTTCACGCCTTTATTCGTGTCGTTGATCTGGAGGAATGCCTGCTTACGACTGAGGATTGCAGGGAATACTGTAAAACGCGATCGCGGAACCATCTCTATAGCCGTAAATAAAGACTGACCTAACACCTACTCTGTATAACCCATTATTGAGGAGAGCACTCTTTTGCAGTTCCAGTTCGCATTCGAGTAGTCATCCTGATCGTATGGTGCGAATATTAGCGTTCTCCAAAATTCAGCTTGCTTCTCTTCCACCGTTCACGAATTTATTCGTGTCGTTGTTCTTTGGGAATGGCTGCTTACGACTGAGGATTGGAAAGAATACTGTAAAACGCGATCGCGGAAACACCTCTACAGCCGTAAATAAAGATTGACCTAACGCCTACTCTGCATAACCCATTATTGAGGAGAGCACTCCGTTGCGGTTCCAGTTCGTATTCGAATAGTGATCCTGATCGTATGGTTCGAATATTGGCGTTTTCCCAAACATAGCGTGGTTCTTTTCCACCATTCACGCCTTTATTCGTGTCGTTGGTCTTTGGGAATGGCTGCTTACGACTGGGGATTGGAAAGAATACTGTAAAACGCGATCGCGGAAACACCTCTATAGACGTAAATAAAGATTGACCCCTACGCCCACTCTTTGTAACCCGTTATTGAGAAGAGCACTCTCTTGCAGTTCCAGTTCGTTTTCGAGCAGTCATCCTGATCGTATGGTTCGAATATTGGCGTTTTCCAAAAATCAGCGTGCTTCTCTTCCACCGTTCACGAATTTATTCGTGTCGTTGGTCTGGAGGAATGACTGCTTACGACTGAGGACTGCAGGGAATACTGTAAAACGCGATCGCGGAACCACCTTTGTAGCTTTAAGTAAGGATTGACCTAACGCCTGCTCTGTATAACCCGTTATTGAGGAGTGCAATCTCTTGCAGTTCCAGTTCGTATCCGAGTAGTCATCCTGATCGTATGGTTCGAATATTGGCGTTTTCCCAAACTCAGCTTGCTTCTCTTCCACCGTTCACGCCTTTATTCGTGTCGTTGATCTGGAGGAATGCCTGCTTACGACTGAGAATTGCAGAGAGTTCTGTAAAACGCGATCGCGGAACCACCTCTATAGCGGTAAATCCTTTCCGCACCTTTCCCATTGCTTTCCCCACCTTTCCCATTCCTTTCCTCCCCTTTCCCGGTCCTTTCCGCGCCTTTCAAGCTTCTTTCTGTGGCTTTCAGGTTACTTCCTGCACCTCTCCCAGTCCTTGCCGCACCTCTCCCGGTCCGTTCCGCGTCTTTCATGTTCCTTTTTGCGCCTTTCAAGTTCCTTTTCGTGCGTTTCAAGCTACTTTCCATTTCTTTTCCGTTCCTTTCCGCTCCTTTTTCGTCGCTTTCCTACTATTCCCGCTCCATTTCACACCTTTGAACTTGGTTACCGCGCCTTTCCGGTTCTTTTACGCACCTTTCCCGTTTCTTTTCCGCACCTCTCCCGGTCCTTCCCGCTCCTCTCCCGGTCCTTCCCGCTCCTCTCCCGGTCCTTCCCGCTCCTCTCCCGGTCCTTTTCGCGCGTTTCGAGTTCCTTTTCGCGCGTTTCAAGTTCCTTTCCGCTCCTTTTTCGTTCCTTTCCTACTATTGCCGCTCCATTTCGCACCTTTCAACTTGGTTTCCTCGCCTTTACCGTTCTTTTACGCGCCTTTCCCGTTTCTTTTACGCACCCTTCCCGTTTCTTGCCGCACCTTTCAAGTTCCTTTCGGCACCCTTTACGTTCTTTTGCGCTCCTTTCCCTTCGTTGCCTCTCGTTTTGTTCGTTTCATTCCCTTTGTTTTCCGCACCGTTCCCTTGTATTCTGGATGCATCGCGACACCATCTAAGAACACGATCTGCCTCGACATCATAATCTAAACTTAATTATTAAAAATGACTTAAAATTCGATGTCGAATAGCATTCGCGAGTTCGTTAGCGTTAAGTCTCGATACGCTCGTTTAGCGAAAACCGTCTCTGCAAGGTGGCAGCAACTTGTGCATCGCTTCGTGCCGTCCATTTTCGCTACTGCCAGCCGTGTCTGCAACGGAAATGAAACAAAGACTGCCTTGTATCGAGCACTATACATAGACAAGTTGCAATGCAAGTCACGTGAAAACTGACTAATTAACACAAAGATCATGTAGACTCTACAAAAACTATGAACATCTACATAACGTTCTATCCATTTAATAAGGAAACTACTTTACATAAAGTTCTCACTCATCGGTAGAGTCAAGATAAGCGTGCAAATATCGCACATTTGGTACTCTTTATGTATGACAAAGCTGTCCTGGAGGGAAATGTCATGGCGTGCAGTGCTTTCAACGATATGCAATAGTACAGAGTAATGCGCGCTCTGGTGAGATGTTGTGAGGGACAGAACTGCAGTGAACAATCAGGAATATCACTTTTTGCACATAAAAATGCCATTATTACCAGTCCAATGAATTTACATATCGACCACCCTGCCTGGTGATACACATTTACCCTGAAGTGAAAGGAGTTCCGAATATAATAATGAATAATATCACGTGGACCAGGAAAAAGACAACATGTTAATGACCTTAATGGATACCATGGTCAATGAAATTCAACATTGTCATCTGCATAAGAAGTTTCGCTTAGCTAAGTGTAAGCAAGGTGGCATTAATCCCATGCTGAATAACAATGAAGATTTGAACCAAA